GTAGAAGGATTAAAGAGCATGCTTACTTCTGCTGGCATGTTCTACCTGCACCCAAACAACAACAGAAGTCAATCCCACAACTCTACAGTAAAGGAGCAAGAGATTAGCAAGTGGTAGCAATCCTCACCACGAGACCTGCAAAGAATACACTAGTTAGGTGAAATACAAAGCCATAACCTTTGGGGGAATAGTCTTGCACTGAACTTCCTTAATAGGGAAAATTTGCTGAGATGAAGACTAACAAGGGGACTTGGAAAAGAGGCCCCAAGAGAAGGTCCCTTAGGGCTGAGGAGACCTAAACCTGTTTATCTGATTCAGAATGATCCAAACAAACCTTATTGAGAAGAAAAAGCAAACAGTAACTTCATTACTGTAAAATTAAGATACAATTGTCAACCCTGAAGATAAGCAATCAATTTCCTCATCCCTTAACCTTCTACAGAACCCAAAGTTCCAATTTGGAGCCAAAGGATTTACCAAAGGGGAGAAAAAAATTTAAGACAACATCTTTTTTTGTACAAGGACATAGAGAATAAGGACAGAAAGGGGTCCATTAAAGGGGCTATCCCCAATCCAGATATCCTCTCAAAACTAAGCAGAGTTTCCAGAGCAAACATCATACTTGCAAACCTGAGAAACTGGGGAAGAATATTGTGAATTGCCTTCTAGGGTGTTGCCAATGTAACCCTCTGAGATACACCAACATCCCAACCATGAATACTTTCTACCACTTCATGCCATAGCCTGTCTTGCTCTTGTGACCAATGCCACATTGACTTCCCCAATAAGGCTAGATTCTTTTGAATCAAGTTACCTAACCTCAAGCCCCCCCTTCTCTTTACTCTTACACACAACCTCCCAATTGATAAGATGGTCCTTTTTACTTTCCCGTGGTTCCCAAAGAAAGTCTCTCATTATTTTCTCCAACTTCTTGTCTTCCCTAGGTGATATCCTAAAAGATAGAAAATAGGTTGGCAAATTCATAAGTGTGGCTCTTATGAATGTGATCCTACCACCCAAGGAAATATAGTTCTTCCTCCATGAGGCTAATTTCTTTTCAAACTTTTCTACCATTAGGTTTCAAAACCACTCTCCTTAGGGTTTTCCTTTAACGAAAGCCCTAGATAGGTCAAAGGCCAGAAAGAGATGGAACACTCTAAACACTTCACCACAACCTCAACCTCCCTAACTTCCAATTTGACACCCACTATACAACTCTTTTCTAGATTATTTCTCAAGTTGGAGATTCTTTCAAAGCTTCTAATGAACTCTTTTAGATTTCCTGCCTTCCCAACATCACCCCCATCACAAAAAAATATTAGGTCATCAGCAAACTGAAGGTGTATAATTGGAGTTCCACTTCTACCTATTCTCCATCCTCTTATAACATCTTCCCTATCAGCCTTAGAGATCAATTCATTAAACACATCAACCAAATACCCAACTGCACCACCTATCCCTAAATCCATAGTTACTTAAACCTCTAATAAAAATTGCCAATCCACCAAATTATAGGCCTTTTCAATATCCAATTTACACAAAGCCTTTCTTCTTAAATCGCCTCATTTCCTCTACTCGTTCATTGGCAATCAGAATCTGATTTGTTATTTGACTCCCTTGTATGAAGGCCTCTTGGGCTTGGCTAATGATAAAGGGTAGAATCTTTTTAAGTCTCAATGAAAAGACCTTAGCTAAGATTTTATAGCTACTTGTTACCAAGCTAATTATCCTAAAGTCTTTAGGGTGGCTAGCCTCAAATTTCTTTAGGACTAAGGCTAGGAAGGTAGCATTGACTCCATGGCTTACTATGTGCCTATTTGCAAATTCCTTGAAGACATCACACATGTCATCTTTTAACACTTGCCAATAGTCTTGGTAGAAAGCCATATTGTCTTGGAGCTTTAGACCTGTCCATAAAAAAAAAAAACGCCTGTTTAATCTCCTCTTCCTTAAAGTTTCTTTCCAACCACCTTGCCTTCTCATCACCCAACCTTGGCTAGTCCACCCCTTCCACTAGTGTTCTCTAATTCAAAGGTCTTCTATTAATAGACTTGAAATGGTCCATAAACCTCTTGACTATCTCATCATGATTGGTAATCACCTCCCCTTCTACCTCTAGCTTGGTCACAATTTTTTTTCTTTCCATTTGCTAAATCATGGAAAAATCAGGTATTTCCATCACCTTCCTTAATCCACTTGTGCCTTGCTTATTGCCTCCAACAAGTCTCCTCTCTTAATAACTCCTCCAATTCCTTATTTAGTTGTCTTCGCAATTCTCTATCATCCTTGTTCAACATCCTTTGAGGTTCCTTCTCAATTAATTCTTCAATCCGAGAGATCAAGCTCAATTTTTGTTCTTCAGCTCTCCCAAAATGGTCCCTGTTCCATTCTTTTATTTTGGCTCTCAGCCTGTGCAATTTCTTATGAAATCTAATCTAACTCCCTTCTACTTTACCCCTCTTAAATCTTCACTCCACCAATCTTTCACTTTATTCACAAAATCTAGTGAGTTAACCACATGTTTTCAAACCTAAAGGGGCTAGGTCCACTAACAAATGATTCCAACCCTATTTTAATGGGACAATGATCAAAAGTGACTTTGGGCAAAGCTCTAGAAACCAAATCTTCTTGGTGATTCTCCTAGGTTAGGTTGAAGAGGAACCCATCTAGTTTTGAGCAAAGAGGATTTTCTTGAAGGTTAGACCAAGTGAACCTAGCTTGTACAAGAGGAATTTCCTTTAACTCTTAGTCCTCTATAAAACCATTGAACTTCCTCATGCTAGTTGTAATTAGCTGTTGGGGGTTACTAGTTTCCTCGGAGAACCTTATAACATTTAAGTCCTCTCCTAGGCATCAAGGGCTATCCCATAACCTCTGGATTGCATACAACTCCTCCCACACTTCATTCCTTTCTCTTTAACTATTAGGGCCATACAGATTGGTTAAAACCCAAATGAAACCATTTGCCACATTCTTGAATTTGATAGAAACATAAAATTTACCTATTAGTTCCTCAACTGGTTCCATTACATCATCTTTCCAAACTGTGACAATTCCCCCTGAAGCTCCCCACAAGGGATTTGGGGACCAACTTACTCCTTTAGATCTCCAAAAGCTTCTATCCCATCTTCCATCCAACTCTAACAATTTTGCTTCTTGCAATAACACAATGTCTGGATTTTCCCTTTTAAAATAGATCCTTCATCACCCTTCTTTTTCTTATGCTCCCCAAACCTCTCACACTCCAAGAACCCCCCCATTTGCTAATGTTGTTCATTCATCTATTGCAATAAAACATATTCTTAAAAGGCAAAGAAAGTTATAAAATCATTATTTTTTATGTGAGGAATAAGAATTTCAGACCCTAACATAGACTTGTTTGGGCTTGCCTTGAGGGGCGTGGTACAAAGGTGACTCATAGAATCAAGAATGCAATGTTTTACATCACATTAGCTACTTGAAGCAATGCAATTAAAGAAAAAAAGAGATTGTGGGTTTTACATGCTTGAAAATGCTTTATATGTTTGCTTTTATTTTTAAATTTTCACTTGGATACGCTTTACATGTTATGTTTATGTATTTTAATTTTAGATAATAGTTTTTTTAAAACATTTATTTTAAAATTTAAGTTTATATTTTTTATTAACATTATGTTTAATATTTTTTGAATTTTTGCATTTTTTAAAAATTTTTGGCATTTTTTTTTTGAATTTTCTGACTTTTTCTTTGATTTTTTAGTTTTTTTTTGTAATTTTGCACCTTTCTTAAAAAGGCATGCGCCTCGTCTTGCGCCTTGCTCCTCAGGCGCAAATTGGTCATTGCACTTTTTTTTGCACCTTGTCCTTTTAAAACACTGTTCCTAGCCTGTCCCTTAGTCATGTAAGTTTTGGGTCTTACTATCCATTAGATACACCAATACACCGATAGATGGGTCTTACCATCCATTAGAGACTCCACCCCCACTTTAGTCATGTAAGTTTCAGGATATCATTCACTGAAAATTCTTTGAATAGAACAGATCAAGTGTATATTTACTACATGTTACATTTTCCCAAAAAAAGGACCTTGAATTTTCTCAAGTCATGGTGAGAGTTTACCTTTCACCATATGACAGAGGGCTGCTCAGCTGATTTTTTTTTCCCTCTGTATGATGATTCTTTCTCTTCTTCATTATCAGTGTGAGGGTGGATTTTATCTATTGCAAATTCTCAAATTTTCAATTCATTTTAGGAAACTATTTAGGAACAATGCAAAAAACTCATGTACCATATTTATGGGTGAGACCCTTCACCCAAGTAGTATTATTTTTCTTGTTGCTTGTGTATCCTTGCTTGGATGTGTGTATTGTATGTGCAGAAAGCTCATGTAAGCCTTGTCCTAGGACTCTCAACTATATGAGGTGGCTATATGAATCATGTTTCGTCATTCCATTCCTTTTCATTGCCATATCCATTATTAAATTATGAGGCCTTGGATCATTTCTTACTACTTAAACCAATGCCCTTTTTGGTATGCCCCTAGCTTGTCTAGCCTTGTCCTTTTTCAATGTAGTAAATAACTCATTGGGCTATAGGTTTGGGACCATTATTTACTGCAATATAAACTAAAATGAAAAGAAATTAGATGCACATATACCACTAAATTGATAAAAGAATGGACATTATGAATTAACATCTCCAAACCTAAAAGAAAACAGTGCAAGAAAGGGCTTTTTTCCATTTCTCCAAATTTCCAATCTATGGAATTAAGCCTCAAGTGGGGTTTCTTTAATTTTCTAACTTTATCGAGTAAAGTTTTGGAATAACTGGTGAACATACAGATTTATGGTTTTGCAAAATATAACCTAGGGCATTCAAATGAAGGCATCTCCCTTTGCTTCTTATGAACTTCCATTCATTTGGCAGGTTAGTAACCTAGGGCATTCACATTAAGACATCTTTATTTGTTTCTTATCAACGATGTTTGCATTGTTTGAATGCTGACACTTTCTTTTACCACAGGTATGACCTATACTTGAGCTTTGAGGAATCAATTTTTGGAGGAGAGCGGAATATTGAAGTTTCCTGTTTTGTAACATGTGATGATTGCAATGGGACAGGTGCAAAATCTAGAAATTGCATAAAATCATGTACTAACTGTGGAGGTAGGGGTGGGGTGATGAAAACTCAGAAAACACCATTTGGAATAATGTCGCAGGTAACATGCTGTTTCTGTAAATAATGTCTCCGAAAACACCATTGCATAAACTATTCTGTTTTTGTAATCCTATCAAATTGTAAGTAACATGCTTTGTGTTGTTCTATGTTGGATGGGTTCTTCTAAATTGATGGAAGGTACATAACCATGTCTTAGGTTTCCATTTTTCCGATTTTGTGATGATGCTTTCCATTGGAATATATAGGTGCTAAACCTGGCACAACCCATGATCACCCTTGAAGAGGATAGAAATAGGAAGCAGTGCATTTTTACTTTCTTTCTTCTACCATTAACTAAGACTTTCTTTCTTCTATTGTGGGCCAGGCTTAAAGTATTGGGTCCAGACCCAACCTGGAAAATCTACATGCTGGACTAGAAATGACCATGCCTAATCCTCTTAGTGCACCACTTATCCATCTAAGCAACCTCGTGGCCCCAAAATATAATCAAAACATCTTTTTGATCTCTCTCTTAAGTTAATTTACTCAAATTGGCATTTCATGAGTTGATAATCTCTTTTTTAATTATGTTGAGATTTGTCAGAAATAGTATCATATTCACTGTTTTGAAAACCAGACCAGACCGGATGGTCAAAGCGTTTGACCTGGGAACTGGTCATGCATCTGAGTCCATTTTTAGACTGGACCACCTTTTTGAAAAAAAACTGTTGAATTGGTCAGAGAATCGCTGACCTGGATGGTCAAACCGCTAAACCGTTTGACCTGGGCAGCGGTTTGCGGTTTAAAATATATATATATATATATTTTAAGATTTTAATAGAGAAGAGAAATGAGGAGGGGAATGACTGATACACGATCTGAGATCTGAGATCAGAGAAAGAGAGAACCGAGATCTCAATCTCAGATCTGAGGCCTGAGATCCGAGAAAGAGAGAAACGGGATCTAAATCTCAGATCTGAGAAAGAAGTTGCTGTCGTGGTCACCATTGCTCTGAGATCTGAGAAAGAAGCTGCTGTTGTGGTCGCCGTCGCTGTCTTCTTTCTTTCTTTCTTTCATTCTTTCCTTCCTTTTTTTTCTTTCTTTCTTTCCCTCCTCTCCTTCCTTTCTTCTTTTTCCTTTCTTTCTTTCTTTCCCTTTTTTCTTTCTTTCCTTTCTTCTTTTCTTAGCCGACAGCCACCTTAACTCCTCTCTCTTTTCTCATAAAAAAAATAGAGAAAGAACCTAATATACTAAATTTCTAACCTAAAGGGCAAACCGCCCGAACTGTTTGATCCAGACGGTCGAACCGCTGACCCAGAAACCGGTGATCAAAGCGGTTCAGTGTCCGGGTTGTTTTTTAAAACCTTGATCATATTGACATTTCTAGATGGATGAGAGATCCTTGTTGGACAGTTGCCTAGTTGGATATTTCTTAATGTCTTAACTTCTTCTTATTTCCTTTTATTTTTTGCTGTTTACTTGGTGTAAATTTACATTGTTAGATATGTCACTTCTACATGAATGTAGTTTTCCTGTCAATAAATGAGACAGTAAGACAGGATAAATTTTCTATTTGTGTCTGTCTGAAAATTTGTGACCACATATGTTATCTATTGATATTCCTGCAAGTAGATAAGGTTAGTCTTATAAAGATAACTTTTGTTCCTAATGTTTGTTAACTTTATTTATTTTTTTTTAAATTTCTGGTTTTGACATTATCTATAGATGGAATTTTTGAATTCTTAGGTTTCTACCTGTTCAACATGTGGTGGTGATGGCAAGATTATTACTGATCATTGTCGAAGGTGTGGCAGTGGAGGTAGAGTCCAGTCAAAGAGAAGTATCAAAGTAATCATCCCACCTGGTGTTAATGATGGAGCCACTATGCAAGTTCAAGGGGAAGGAAATTTTGATAAGAAAAGGTATGATATCCATACATACACAAGCAAACAACACGCACCAATGCACAATTTTTTAGCAATTGTCTAACCTTGTTTCTTATGATATGAACATTGTGTTTTTGGAGCCTCCTCAGGTTTCTTTGAAGTTGAAAATTTTTGGTCATACTCATCTCTGGTTGGTGACGAGTCCGGTTTGCATGTTGAAAAAGCATGCCTTCTCCTGATGTATTTTAGTTGGGACTTTGGAAATTGAAGATCTTCCTGCTGCAAGTCTTCAACTCATCCGTCATCATCATCATCATCTCTCTCTCTCTCTCTCTCTCTCTCCCTCCCTCCCTCCTTCTCAATCACAAATTTTAGATACAATAGGATGTGAAACAGAAATATTTGGATTAAATAAATTGCTCACATGTAAACAAATCTGTTTATGCCTGCACGTTGCAAGTTTTATGTTTGAAACCAATGCTTGTATTCTTATAAGATAATGTCTATCTGTTCTACCTATGCCCTCTGTGTATGTGTACAGACTCACTGATGTGGTGTAAATTAAGAATGTATATATAGGAATGGTAATGGAGCAGGGTGAGGCCGGGTTTTGCATGCTCCCGTCCCTAACCCGTACCCCAATGGGGCTAGAAATACCAACCTCATCCTCATCCTCTCGGGGAACAGGGATCCCCGAATTTGCCTCACCCCACCCCAGTCCTACTTGCAAATTGATTTTTTTTTTTTTAGTTTTTTGAAACCTACCTAGAACTATATTATATTATCTAATATAATATAATATATATTAAAGAAACATACTTTTAGTCGGGGCGGGGTCGGCAAATACCATCCTTGCCCCATCCTCGGGCACCAAAGTTTTGGGTTTCCCAAAATCCACCCCAAACCCGACCAACAGTCAAAAAACCTGCCCCAATCAGGGAGGGGTGGGTCGGAGCCCCACAAGGATGGGTTAAATTGCCATCTCTATTTTTGGGTGCTGCTTCCTCTTGTTTCAT